GGGATTACCGCCAAATAAAATGGTAAACCGCAAAGTGAATACTTAGTCTGTGTGTTCACTTAATCATATAAACATGGCTTAAGTTACACGAGTCATTACCAAGTTATAAAGTACAAGATTTTGCCCGCGACTGCGTTAACACGGAATTTGCCCTACTAGAGTAGTTTTGTTTCTTCGTTGCATACAAAAGTACAAATTTTTCCTGTACTCAAAAAGGTAGTCATTTTTTTTAAGAAACTAATTAATATGTTTACAATTCTCTGCAAAAAGCTTAATTAAGAGAACGAGGTTAAAGGTTTTTATGAAACGATTTATTTAAAGCAACGGTTAAGTAAAAGTCGGTATAGTAATATACAAAGTTTATGTAAGCTCGTGGATACGTGCGCATGTCTGTTAGATCGATTACAGGCAGTGTGCCTCCCGCATACCATACCATTACATTATCTAAGCATAGAACTCAACTGGACATCAATTGTTATACGTATAAATTATGATGAACAATATTATTCACACGTAGAAATATTGCTGATGGTCTATTAATTGGTACTGAGAAGATTAGCGTTGGTCAAAATGTCGAGACAGCCGAAACACACAATAATAATGTAAATAATGTTAACACATTATGTCATTACGATTATTTCGTACATACAATATATAAAACAAGCTTTCGCCCGCGATTCCGTCCGCGTGGAATTAAAAACAAACGAAAGTGAGTAGCCTATATATTCTTCCAAACTATGCTATATATCTATACCAAAATTTATCGAAATTCGTTCATCAGTTTTAGCTACAAACTCTAACAAACATCCATTTAAACTTTCGCATTTATAATATTAGTATGATGTGTGAAGCGTCTCGTGTAGATTTGCGAGCCACTATAAAGTTTGCATAGCACTATACAAGGTAGTGCATAGTAGGTAGGCAGTAGTGGTTTTGTACAAGCACCTCTCGTCTCGTAGCGCTCTTTAAATCGTAAACCAACTGAACTGTTAAGGTAGGTTTACACTGTAGCCTACGATCGACAGAGATTACATATATTGGTGAATTCTAGGTTTGTTTACGTAATTACCGAGAACGGTAATAAGCGTTTCTCGACTCGTTGGCGTGAAATTAAAAAAACATAATATTGCTCCCGCATATGTCAGCTACGTTCTAGTAAGTTCCGTCAAAATAGGGCTACCCGTTCAGAAGATTACCCGGAACAAATACAGACAGACAAAGTTTTAAAAATTGTGTTTTTACATTATAAGTAACGGAAATGTAGGAATGTGATTTTTTTATTACATGCAGACTCTAGTCATATTTTTATTATAAATGCGAATGTTTAGATGGATGTATGTTAGTTTGCAGCTTAAATGGCTGTCAGTCTTGAGCACAGGCGTAAAGTGGCTAGTCTCTCTGTGTTTTACAGGCTACATTTTGGAGAGTGTGCACAAGAACTGCACGATTTAATT